GTTGTCCGTGCCCTCGAGCCAGCGGCGAACCCGCCGTCGCCATATCTTGTAGTCTGGCCAGCCCTTCCAGGCTGGTGGATTGTCCATGTCCGGTTTGTTGTTGTACGGCTTGCCGTACCACGAGTCGCTCGCCCACGAAGATCCTTGCCAGCGCTGGCCGGCCCATCCTCGCGAGTTCCCCTCGTGTTCGTCCTTGAACGGTTCGGCGCGGCTCCACCATATGTCGGGATCGCCGTCCTTCCCTGGGTCCTTTTGAGTCCAACTAGCTGAGCTCCCCCATGAGCCCTGGCTCTCCCATGCTGGGCTCGGACCGGGAGCCTTCCACGGGTCCGACTCCGTCCAAAGATCTGATGGCTGGCTAGCTTCCTGACCGCGTGAGCGCCAGCCGGCACCCTCAAATGTCCACCGCGAGGTCTCTGCTACACTTGACGCGTTCTTGGCCGCGTCCGTCTTCGACAAGTCACCGAACGTGTCGATCATGAGCTGCTTCAGCTCCGCCTTCTGCGCTTCCGTGAAACCGGACTGAGAATCCTTCCCTGAGGCCACACCTGCCTGCACCTCGTGCCACGAGTCGCCCTTACTGCCCTGTGACGTCTTCTCGTATTCAGCTTCGCCAGGCACGTCGTGAAGCTGGAGGCCGCTGGTCGCAGCAGAGGCTCCGCTACCAACTGTGAGTCCAAAACCAACGAAAACAACACCGAACAGAGTGAGGGCGGAACTTTTCGCTATGACGAGGCCTGCATGTGTAACTATCTGAGGGTGCCCCTAAGCCAACGGCTACGGAGCAGAGACTGGCAATATAATGTTTGGACTTGACCCACGGAGGAAACTCTCACAAGTCTGTGTAGGAGTAAGTCTGGGTATGAGGAAGAGAAGAAGGAAGAGAAGGAGAAGGAGGATAAGTAGGAGGCGTCGGAGTAATTATTCACTGCGTGGAGCTCCCCATATGTGCATCTATTCGCATGGACCTGTCAGCCGTGAGCGTCTAGGCGCAAGAGCTTTCGAATATAAGCGGGCTTCAGTTGTGACGGTCTAGTCATGAATCTAACTGCGAGCGAATTGAAGTGTGAATGAGCATCAGTAGTACGAGCGCGTCTCTGCGCATGAGCCTGGGGCCTCCTGGGGCCTCCTGAAACCTACTGGGGCTTCCTGGGGCCTCCAGGAACCTTTTGGGGCCTCCTGGGACCTCCTCGGGGGGATTCATACCCCATGAGAGGCCCTATCTATAGCAACATACGTACATAAAACATCGCGGATTGGAGCCACAAGAGAAGGGCAATCTATAAGAACACAAGTAAAACATCAAGGAAACGTGCCCCAGGAGAGGCCCAATGTATAGGAACATGAGAAAACATTTAGGCTTGTGTACACAAGAGAAGGACAATCCATAGAAACATACGTATGGCATCAAGGATTCGTGCTCCAGGTGAGGCCGAATCTACAGGAGCATACGTAAAACACATGGGATTGGAGCCACTCCTGTTGCCTTCTGAAGCCTCCTGCTCCTGGGGCTTCTCGGGGCCTCCTGTTGCCTTCCGGGGCCTCCTGGCGCTTCCTGTGGCCTCCTGGGGCATCCTGTGGCTTCCTGGGGCCTCCTGGAGCTTCTTGGGGCCTCCTGGAGCCTCTTGGGACATCCTGTGGCCTCTTGAATCTTTCTGTGGCCTCCTGATGCCTCCTGGGACCTCATGTGGTCTCCTGGGGCCTCCTGGAGCCTGTTGGAGCCTCCTGTGGCGTCCTGAAGAGAACATGTGCCCGCGAGTCCGGCCGCCAAAACATGCAAACCGACCGAAGCATCCTCAAAATCTGGCCCACCTGGGGTGTGCAAGTGAGCGCCTCGCTCGAGACATCCTCCAAATCTGCTCCGAAAGCGAAGGATGTTGGGACAGAAAACAAGCAAACAACTTGAGACATCCACACGAAACGGCCGCGAACCGGACCGTGCAATACCCCTCAGCGGCCCCCCTTAGGCGTGTGAAAATGAGCGCCTCCCTCGAGACATCCTCCAAATCTGCTCCGGAAACGAAGGACGTTGTGACAGAAGGCAGGCACACCGCTTGCGACATCCCCACAAAACAGCCGCGAACGGGACCGTGCAATACCCCTCGGCGGCTCCCCTTAGGGGAGTGAGAATGAGCGCCGCTCGAGACATCCTCCAAATCAGCTCCGAAAGCGAAGGATGCTGGGACAGAAGGCAGGCAAACCGCTTGAGACATCCCCACAAAACAACAGCGAACGGGACCGTGCAACACCCCTCGGCGGTCCCCCTAAGGGGTGCTGAAACCAGCGCCCAGCCTGAGACATCCTCACAATCTGCTGTGTGTTGAATAAGTCAGACAATGAAGGTCTGAGTATGAATAAGTCTGGGTATGAGTGGGTCTCAGCATAAGTAAGTCTGAGTATGAGTAGGTATGAGTATGAGTAGGTCTGAGTATTAGTACATTGAATATGATCAGGTATGAGTATGAGTAAGCCTGTGTATGAGTAAGTCTGTGTATGAGTAAGTCTAGGTCTGATGAGGAGGAGAAGAAGGGGAAGGAGAAGGAGGGGCAGGAGGCGTCCAAGTAATAACAGTAACCCCATATTATGATATGGAGGACAACAAAAAGCCCATCTTAGGATGTGGGGAATCAGACACACCATCAATGGCGGAATTAATAATACTAATAGGAAGGGGCTGTGAACATAACAATATTAATACTAATAAAGATCCGCCTCCTCGTCCTCAACAACATCATCAGATGCAGCAGCATCATCCGCATCAGCATCAGCGTCATCATCGCGCGCATGGGCATCGTCGCCACCACCTCCATCGCCGTCATCATCAGCAGCAACAGCGCCAGTACTATCGCCACCATCCATCACCCACATCACCATCATCATCGTCATCATCATCACCAACATCACCATCAACAGCATCAACACCATCATCAGCATCAGCATATCCATCGTCGTCGTCTCAAATATTTTTCCTGAGATCGAACTCCGTGTATAACTACGTGCACTCAAAGCCCGATAAACAAATCCACTGGCCGAGAAATACGAATTCCCACTTGAAACGTATCAGCCGGGACGAGATCTAGAACAAAGCCGGAATTCAACGCTGAATGCTTCAGCCAGCGTTTGGCTCTAGACTAAAACTGGGGACTGCGCCAAACAAAATTGTCTAACAGTCTGGCGCGGCCAATGCTGGAGTCCAAGTTCCGTGATTTTTCCCGGAGGAGGAAGAGGAGGAGGGAGGAAGAAGAGGAAACAAAAGAGAGAGAGGAAAGAGGGGGAGGGCAGTCCCGACCCCGGTAGGGGACGGACGAAGGATCCTAAGCAAAGCATCGGACCCACCTGCAAAAAACAGAAAAGGGGAGGAGGAGGCAGAGGGCGGAGAAGGAGAGGAAAAGGAGGGAGCCGAGCAGGGAAAGGAGAGAATAGCGACGAACTTGTGCGTGCGCAATCCAGCCTTAAGCTGACGACGCACAAGGTCCCACACGAGCAAGCTAGATGGCAGGATCTGAACATATGATAGCTGTAGGGCGAACGGCCAGGCAAGTATAACGAGCAGTGTGGAATCGGACTTGGGGGGGGGGCAGGGGTCGGGAAGCTCTGAGAGCAAACCGCCCCTGTCGCCCCTAAGGCGGTGAGCGCCGCCCCGCGAGACAGGGACCAGCGCCACTGAAAGTAAAAAACTAGCCAGAAACTAATCATGCAATGCGAAGCTGTGATCGAAGCGAGGGAGGCGGAGAAAGGGGGAAACGGAGAGGCTCCAATGCAGCCCAAACGAAGCGGGCCCTAGCTGCAATATCCTATGGCTTGGGCAACGGCACGGGCTGCTCAGGCAGAACTCAGGGGACGAGTCCGGAGGACATGGGCACGAGGTCCATGTGGGTGACCCTGCCACCACCCCATAAGACAATACCAAATCCTCGAAGCCCTCACGCGTAGGTGATGATGCTGGCGACGGAGCTGGCGTCGGTGCTGGTGTAGGTGACGGCGATGGTGCTGACGGTCGTCTCCAGAGTAACAAATACAAAAGGCAGCGGGATATCTACACCTGGTGCTACTGGAATTCCCGTTCGAGCCGGAGGACCCGCTGGAATTCCCGGCGCGGAGGACACCCTGGAATTCCCGGCAATGCGGGCGCAGGGCCCAAGAGGCAGCGGGATATCTACACCTGGTGCTACTGTGCTAATGGACTTCCCGTTCGAGTAGCCACCATTCGAGTGCTTGGTGCGCAAGCGTCATATAGAGGTTTACCGACGGCGGAATAGGGGCATCCACCACCTCTTTTGCACAGGAAGGCGCTGGCGTTGGTGCTGGCCTCGATGCTGGCGACGGTGCCGGCGTCCGTCCTGACGTAGACGCAGGCGGTGGTGCCGGCGTACGCGTTGGCGTCGGTACTGGCCTCGGTGCTGGCGTCGGTGCCGGCGTCGATGCTGATGTCAACGATGATATCGGGGCTGATGAAGTCGGTGGCGTAAGCGCCGGCGCCGGTGCCGACGTTCGTGCTGGCGTTGGTGCTGGCGTCGGCGCTGGCGTTAGGGCGGGTGTTGCCGCGGGCATTCGTGCTAACATACCCTCACCTACCAAATGCCGGGTGGAAGCATTCCCCTCGCGATCATGATCGCTACCAGTACCATGGCCATCACCATCTGCACCAGCATCACCACCACCATCACCAGCAGTAGCAACATCAACCCTAATCTCTGCATCATCATTCTGATCAGCATCAACACCACGATCATCATCATCACCATCATCATCATCATCATCATCATCATCATCATCATCATCATCATCATCAACAACAACAACATTAACCTCAACATCATCATGACAATCATCAACAGACGCATCAGCATACTCACCATCCTTACCATCACGGTGTGCACGTCGACGGTGAGGACGAAGACGACGGCGACGACGCCGACGACGGGGACGGCGGCGGCGGCGGCAATGACGACGACCTCCCTCCCGCAGCGGTGACGGCAGTGCCCAAAAACCCGTGCGGCCTCGAGTAACGCGACGTTGCTGTCCCTCTCGGCACGCCTGGGCGTAGGACAAGGGAGAGGAGGGGAGGAGCGGGGACTGGCGGGAGGGGGGACTGCTGGGGAGGGAGAGGTGGACGAGGACGGGGGGGAGGAGGAGGAGGAGGAGGAGGAGGAGGAGGAGAAGGAGGAGGAGGAGGAGGAGGAGGAGGAGAGGAGGAGGAGGAGGAGGAGGACGACGACGACGCAGACGAACGCAAAAGAGGGAGGATGGGGCGAGACGGCGGGGGGGGTGGGGGGGGGAGACGGGAAGGGACAGGGGAGGGCCAAGAATAAGGAGGAGCTAGGGATCAGAAAGAGGGGGCGAAGGGGGAGTAGCGGGAGCAGGTGGTAGAGGGGCAGGGGGGTGAGAAGTGTGAGGAGGAAAAGGAGGAGGAGGAGAAGGAGGAGATGGAGGAGGAGGAGGAGGAGGAGGAGGAGGAGGAGGAGGAGGAGGAGGAGGGGCTTTCGGGTGAGAGAGAGGAGTGTGAGAGAGAAATGTGTAATGAGGCGAGACAGGAGGACCGAAAGTGATGACGAGGAGGAGAAGAAGGAGAAAGAGGGGAAGAAGGAGGTTCCCTAACGGTAAAAAAGGCGACGTAAGAGCGACGGGCGACGGGCGCCCCCCTAACATGTGGAACAGACTGAACAGGGCAGAAGATTGGGCGCAGACTCTGAGCTCATCACCCCTTCTGACCACCCCTTCTGGCCACCGTAAGGGCTATCCAAGAAGAAAACTCGCGCATCATTGACAATATTAGCCGTGCGCTGCTTATGGATGTCCTGGATAAAACCATGCAACACCGCGCGTGCAGGCCCCTTCTTGTGCCAAAGAAATCAGCCCATTCATAACCAGTGATGTCAAACTCACGCGAAGCTCACCGAACACAGTTTCGATCGATCGGCGCGCAGGGGTCCATGTCATCTGCCTCGCACTTCTGGTGCGCCGATCTCCAGATGGCAGCGCGCCCCGATGTAGCCCCTACGTTGCGAGGCCCCCATCGCGGGGCCTGCGCGCGGCGATGGAAGGTGATCCTAAACAGCGTCCACTCCGGGTCCTGCACGCGCAACTGCCATTCAAGCAACATAGCACTCGAATCGAGGAACAGGTTGCACATGCCGGACAACGCTCCATCGTGAGTTTCGCGAATAATGCCTCACTTGTCGAGATGCACAATTGACGACCGCATCTGGCAAATCCTGGCAAAGATGCAGCCAAACCAGACCCATCAGCGCAAAGCGTCCGTCCCCAAACGACCCGCCCTCCCCCCCCAGCCCAAGCACGGGCTGTGATTCTGCCGCGTCGTCGGGAAACGGCGGCAAGGGTGGCAGCCCATTATTCAGGTAAGAAGTGCCCAGACCTCCGGCAATGCTGCCTAGGTTGGCAATCGTTGCAGCACGGTGATCAATAGCGCCATCGGGGGGCCTGTCTTCCCCTGTGGGAACGCAAGAGCGCGGAGCAGGGAAACCCACGCCGAGTGGATGGAGCCGCGGTCATTCACCCAGGAAGCATTGTTATGCAGACGCTCCGACATGATGCACCAGGCTCTGCACAGCCTGCAGTGGGGGGGGACCTCGCCTTTTAAAACGCACGAAACACATCTCGCTACCAGAGGCACCGTTGCATCGAACATCGGGTTGAATCGATCATCCTGCTGAGTGGCTGTGTACAATGTCAAGCGCGACGAGGGCTCGGCCCCCGCCACCCCTCCAGCGAACGCGCGCAGCTCCCTTCCGGTAGCGTCCGAGATCCCAGACACCCGAGCCCCGTGACCAGCCGAAGGCAGGAGCTCCATTCTACACAGGACCATGACAGCCTCCCCATACGCATGCCTAGAGTCCCAAACCTTCCGACGCCCAGCCTGGAGATTGCGGGGCCTTCTCCCCTCCTGGATGCGCAGCACTCGCGCGTCGTGCACATCGTGCCCAAAGTTCCAGATGGCACTGTGCTCACTATTGCCTATGGACTTAGCGTGCTTGACCCAACGGACATCAGCAACGACCGAGCTAGAAACGGCGCTGCTTTTGCTGGGCTGGATGATCAGGGGGCCCGACATCGTCGCAAAAGCTCCATGCGATGGCGGCCAGCCAGCGGCCGCCATCGCCGCTGCCCCCCACCCGCCCCGAATCCCCCCGCCACCCGACCCAGCGAAAACAAATTTCGTTAACCTGGTCTCGCAGCTCAAGGCCAAGACGCGCCAACTTGGCTCTGACCGCTCTCCTGCGCAGTAGCACCAGCACCATGGCAGTGGCATGCGAGCGCCCAGCAACAATCCCTAAGTAGCTTGGGGCGAAGGGAAGGAGAGAGACTCGAGAAAGCACGAAGAGAGTGGGGCTGAAGGTGGGACTGGGCGGCCATCCGCGCAAAGCGAAGAAAGGACTGCAAAGCTCTAGCTTCCTCCACCAACTTGAAAAATATGAGCATGTTCTCGCATGTCTTCATATCCATGAACACCGCGAGCTGAGCCGCTCCATCCCCGGTTTAAAATTCAATTCCAAGGTGATGTCCGACAAGGATTTCCCAGGTCCTGCTCCCCGGAGACATCCCGATGGGCGCCGGGGCTCCCGCTGCGTGGGCACCCCCTTGCGATTGCGGCCCCATGCCCGAACTGGGGCCATCGCCGGAGCGACCAACCCACCACTTCCTGATGGTTTGGGCAGTCAGACAAGCTGCGCGAGAAGACTGCGGGAGGGCCAGAAAGAACGCTCCATGCATTTCATAGACGGATCACCGAGAGCCTGAAAGCCTGGATCACCCACGACGTCAAACAACGCGGCGCAAAATAAGATTGGCCACCCCCCCCGCACCAAGGAAACACGCACGCGCGCGCGAATCCTGCCTGGAATTCAGGACCGAGACTGCGCGCAGCAGACCCCACTGTTGAGCGCCAGCTGGCAGCGAAGGCGCCGACGCACCACGGGGGCCCCAAATGTTAAACCACAACCTTACTACCTCGCGGTCCGATCCGCAAGCTTGCATGGCAGGGCAAGGGTATTGGGCAAGAGACTGGCGCCACATAATTCTTGCAAGGCTCGTCATCTGGCGCGGAAGCGCGCAAACATGGCGCTGGCTTCAGCCCGCGCCCAGCATGCGTTTGCTGACTGTTCGGCGAGGCGCCTGGTGGCGCCTTCCGATTTCACCGCAATGGCAGCGACAGAGACATCCAAATCTGCCCTAATCTGTTCAGTCGTGGCCAGCGGCAGCCCGAACTAGCTCCGCAATGCCCGCCCACGCAAGAGCGCGCCACGAGCATCCTGGCCTAGGCTCTCTCGGGGCAGCCCCGAGGCCTCGGAGCCCGCTTGTCTCGACGGGCGACTCTCTACCAACCGTGTTGAGTTACAGAAGGTGGCGTGGATACATGACCGCATTCTCCCGGGCCCTGACACCTGCGGTCCTGGCTCAGAGGCTCTGAGACACGATGGAATATACAGTTCCACCCCACGGCGACGAATGTCGGCGCGTCGTTGCCAAGGGGCCTGCAGCGCACCAGCGACCGCACTGACCCACGCCGCAACGCCCCACTCCCTAACCTCCGCGTTAAAACCGCCGCCGACTATCCAGCCGAGGCCTGCGCCACTAAGCCGAGCAAAGAAAATGCGCGGCTGCTGCAATGCCTGAACGCTGCTCTGAGACCACTCTTCTTCTTTCGCGCAAAACCAAAACACACAAGCTGGCGCACATGAAACTCCCGCCCCCCCGCCCCCCCCCAGCGCGCCCACAGTCGACGAGGCAGGGGCAGCGACTGCCCTCCGCGCAAAGGCCCCGCGGGCAGTTCGCTTGCAAGCCGGGCCGCCCTGGCGCAAATGAAACTCCCGCCCCCCCGCCCCCCCCCCAGGGCGCCCACAGTGGACGAGGCAGGGGCAGCGACCGCCCTCCGCGCAAAGGCCCCGCGGGCAGTTCGCTTGCAAGCTGGGCCGCCCTCGACGGCACCCCGCGCGGCGCAGCCAGGCGCGCCCGCTCAGAGGGACGCGGCCGCCCTCCTCGTGAAGGGCCCCGCGAGCGCCGACGAACCGAAGGCTCGGGGCTCTCCGCTGCAGAGCCCGAAAGGCCGCAGCCAGGCGATAACGGCGTTTCCACGCCCCCCCAGCTTGGACACCCGAAATGGGTACCGAAAGAATGGGTACAATGCCCAACAGCAAATGTTGTCCCAAACCAACAGCGGCCGCTGTTAGTTTGGCGGCCTTCTGTCTCAAATGGACACGGGCCGCGGCGGCGCGGACAGCGAGTCCTGTTCAGAATGAACAGGAACTGCTGTTGGGCATCGTGCCCATTCTTTCAGTGCCCATCTCGGGCGTGCAGACCCAGGAGCTGGGCCCAGCGGCCCCAAAGAAGGGGCCGGCATTCAAGCTGTCCGCCGCCGTCCCGAACGCGACCGACACCGACGTGCAACAGCATGCCAAGCTGTAGACGAAGCTTGAAGACTGGCTTCCTCTTGCTGCCTCCAGCCTTTCAGTGACTGGCATAGCTTGTGGACCTGACCACGCAGTTCGGGCTTCATCTTCAACTGCATCAGCGCCTGGTTTTACGCGCGAAACTACGCATGCCATCAAGGTCGTCGTCGTCGTCGTCTACTCTGGCGCACCAATGTTGATTCCTCCTGGCGCCGATGACGAAACGGCAGCTGCAGCTGGTGGCAATGCTGCCGATGCTGCCGCTGGGTCGCACTGTGCCGGTGCAGCTGCGGGAGTTGGTGGGCTAGCAGATTGTGCCTCCCGCGTCTCCTTTTTACTGCGCTCATACACTCTGGCCTCCTCCAGGATGCCGCCGAGCTTCTTCGCCATCTCCCTCATGCCTCCCAGCGCCCCGAGGACCTGACCCAGCTTGTCGATCTCGACGCCCAGCGCTGAAATCATGCCACCTTCGGCCTTCTCACCTACAACTGGTCGCGGCACCTGCGATGAAAGACATAAATGATGGGTCTGTTCCTCCGAGATCTTTAGCCCTTGCTGTTCAACCTCGGCGATGAGCCTCCTGTGCCTTGAACAGCGTTTTTTGCGCCGCTGCATGGTTTCATTGTGGTTATCCTTCCGCTGCTGTAGTTTGGACGCCTAGAGAAGAAAACAAACAACGTACGCAACATCGCTGGCACTGGCTTGGCCTCCCCGAGCTCAAAACGGATACGGGCACGCTCAGCTCCGAGGGCCTTGCACGCTGCCGCGAAGTCAATGTCCTTGAGCCCTCTGATCGCCCGCAGCGAACTATCGATCTCATCCATCCGCGTCATCTGAGCAGCCGTCGTCGAAACCAAGATACTATATGTATTGAATGCACCTGGCCTTCCGAAACCGCTGCCTGCGAGGTCGCAAGGCGCACAATTGCCATGGCCAGCTGCCTGTCAAGCGACACCACTCTCGATGCCTGCCACGGTGAAGTGTCCGATGTGCCCGACACTCCGCCAACTCCTCCTCCTCCTCCTCCTCCTCCTCCTCCACCGCTGCTGATAGCCTTGCGCCTGACAGGCCCGGATAAGTGGGCCTGGCCTCAAGAAAGGGTGCTTATTACTTGGCGACACCGTGCTCATCGTGCTGGTGCGAACCGCAGACCAGCGGTGTCAATTTTGTTCACAACGGAACAAGCACCTTGCGCCAGAATCGCTACGGACAAGTGAGGAGGACGGGAAGGAACGGGAGGAGGAGGAGGATGATAAGACGAAGGATAGCAAGAAGGAGGGGGAGGGAGAGGGGGGGGGAGATGGCGAGGTAAAGGCTAGGGATGAGGACCCCCTAGAACGCCCCAGCACTGGATCATCCTGCTCGTCTTTCCCCTCTTCGTATCTGATCATCAAAGATGTAGGATAATTTCCTCCTTTTCCCCTCCATCATAACTTATAGTTTAATGCGTGTGCTGCCAATTGGGCACATTGCATTGGCCAAGCTGACGTTCGACGACGACGCGCCTCCTCTCCACATCCATGTACCCCCTCTCACACCTCCATGCGCCCTCCTGCTTCCTCCCCATCCTCCTCATACCCTCCTCCTTCTTCCTCCCTGCTCCCTCCTCCTCCTCCTCTTCCTTATGTGCTCGATCCCGGAAGCTCTTTTTAACATACATTCGTGTCCTTGTGTGCCTTTCAATGTCTTTTAATGCTCTTTGTAGGCCTTCTAGTGCCTTTTGTGTCTCGGTCGTTGCACGTGCGCAGGATAGCCGCCTTCCTCCCGTCTGATCTCTCCTCTTGCTCCTGCTGCTGCTCTTCATCGGTTTCCTCCTCCTCCCCCTCCCCGCCCGCCCTTCCGCCGCCGTCACCCCCGCCGCCGCCGTCTCCTCCCCCGTCCCCATCCCGCCCTGCCCGTCGAAAGTTTGCCTGAGGGCGGCCAGGCGAACCCGCTGGGGATGGCGGCGGCGGAGTTGGTTCCACACTTTTCTGGCCATCCTGGGGCAGCTGCGACGCTTTCTGGCGGACGAGGGCCAGGAACTGACAGGCGCCGACGTGGGCGCGCTGCGCCGCCCATGTCCGAGGCCGCGCCCTCGCTTCGCGGCGTGGCCGCGTGGCAAGCGCGCCGCGCGTGCCAGGGGCGCCAGGCGCGACAAGAACGCCAAGTGCACCAGGTGCGGCACGTGCCCGGCGCGCCAGGTGCGCTAGGTGTGCCAGGTGCGGCAAGTGCGCCTCGTACGACAGGTTCGTCGGGCGCCCGTGGCGCATTGCGCTGCCCCATGGGACGGCAACGGCGCTGGGCGATCAGTTCGACCCCGACGACCCTCGTGGGCAGTTGCGCGGCAGCCGCGGCAGGTGCCCCGCTTCGCCAAGTCAATTCCCTGATCCAATTTCCTCCGCCCCCCCCCCATGCCACCCCCGCCCCCCTCATGGAATAACGCCACGAAGGCGGCGTACATTTTTGACTCCACAGTGCCACGAGCCTGGGTCCAACGTGCGTCGCGGGATTTCCAGTGTGTGTCATGATATTGGCTCCACTTTCCTCGCTGACGGCCCAGCGTTGCGAGCATGCGCTTGCAACGCTTCCAAATCGCAGCCGAGATATTCAAATTCTTATCCGTGTGCCGTTCGCTGAATCAGTTGAGACTGTTCCCGCGGGCATCTCCCTGAATGCTCCATCAGCAAGGGCTTGCACAGGAACGTTTTGCCGAAGGCACCTGTGCACCGCCAGCACAAGTCCTGGCCAGTGCCATGCCGCGCTTCTGGCGTACTCTCGTGGCTCGGACGGCCAGGCAACACCCACGGGTCCAGGATGGGACTGGCCAGGCATGGTGGTGATAGTAGTACAGGAACGCCTCGGGGGAAAACAAAAAACACACTTGAAAATATTGCCCATCAACGACGGGGCAGCGAAGGAATCCACCTGCAACCTTCGACGGAGACTGGCCCTCCACAGGGCCTCGACCGCTATTTCCCCTCGGGAGAATGCGCCCCGGTACTTCCGCTGTCTTCCGCCGACCTTCTGCAAGAATCTCAAGGTCTGCCTTTTGCCGGGGCCCCACCGTCCGCCGACCTTCCGCCAGCTTCCGCCGTCCTTTCGGCATTCCAGCCACCGTTCAACGGCTTCCGCCGACCTTCCCTTCCGCCGACTTCCAAGCGTTTCGTTCGGTTCCCGCGCGCTTGCCACGCGGCCACGCCGCGAAGCGAGGGCGCGGCCTCGGACATGGGCGGCGCAGCGCGCCCACGTCGGCGCCGGTCAGTTCCTGGCCCTCGTCCGCCAGAAAGCGTCGCAGCTGCCCTAAGAGGAAAGTGCAGAACCAACTCCGCCGCCGCCATCCCCCGCGGGTTCGCCTGGCCGCCCTCAGGCAAACTTGCGGCGGGCACGGGAGGACGGGGGCGGGAGACAAGATGGCGGCAGCGGCGGGGGCGACGGCGGCGAAGGGCGGGCGAGGAGGGGGGGGGGGAGGAAACCGATGAAGAGCAGCAGGAGGAGCAAGAGGAGAGATGAGAGGGGGAGGGAGGGGGCTATCCTAAGCACGTGCGACGACCAAGGCACTAGGCACTAGCACGAGCACTAAAAGGCACTAGAAGACACTAGAATGCACACATAGACACGAAAGTGTGTATATATATATATATATATATATATATTCCAGGATCGAGCACATAATATTTCCCCTCCTGATTCTCCTGGGCAAAGCATCGTAGCGGACACAGGTCTGTCCACCACCTGCACTGGGCCCGCGGCTGGGGGTGCACTTTGGAACCACCACCAGCGCGGGAAACTCGCGAACAGACTGCACGAGCAACTGGAAAGCTAGACCAGAAAAACCAGTGTCACAGAAGATACAGACACTGAAGTAAGTCTGAAACCTCTGGGTTCCCTGGACACTGCGAACCACTCCGTCAAGCTTAAGTCTGCCCTGCGCCAATCTGCTCCCGACCGTTTTGCCACGCTTGGGGTCTCGAGGGGTACACCGGGACGAACGCGAAACTGGGCGCCTGGTGGCAAAGGCCCCACAGAGGCCGCAGCAGACGACCTGCAAGGACCCAGGCTGGGTCGGGATCCTCCCTCTCCCCGCCCTTTCTTCTCCTCCTTCTCCTCCTCCTCCTCTTCATCCTGGTCGATCTTCCTTCTCATTCTCCTTCTTCTAATCCTCCTCCGCCTCCTCTTCATCCTGCTCCTCCTCATCATTATCACCATTCTTCTCCTCCTCCTCCTCCTCCTCATCGCGCCCCTCCTCCAGCCCCTCCTCCTGGAGGAGATGGAGGAGAAGGAGGAGGAGAAGGAGGAGGAGGAAAACAAAGGACGTGGACGAGGCCGAGGAGACGGACGACGACGAGGAAGACCAGCAGGCAGGGGGAGGGGGGAAGGAGGAGGAGCAGCAACAGCAGGAGCAGCAGCACGACAACGACGACGATGACGACGACGCCGCCGACGACGAGGCCACTGCGACAGCACGCGGTGTGGGCTGGCTGGCGGCGCCAGTCCTCCGCTCCAGCTCGGACCTCGCCTGGTCGACCTTTCAGAGTGCGCCACGGATGGAGGCACGACGCCGACGACGACGACGAAGACGATGGCGACGACGGCGACGGCGACGGCGGCGGTGGCGACGACGACGACGACGACGACGACGAGCATGAAGACTGGGACGAAAACAACGACGGACACGAAATTGACGACGACGATGATGACGACAATGACGACGACGGCAGCGGCGACGACGGCCGTGGCGGTAATGACGACGACAAGGCTTTGAAGTGTGGCGTCATGGGGCGCCTTTGTCTCATGCGGGGGGAACCTGGGGGGGACCACCCTGACAAGATGGTGAAACGACGACAACGACGACGACGACAAGGACGACGAAACGACGACAAGGACGACAAAGACGACGAGGACGACGTCGAGGACGCCGATGACGACGAGGAAACAAGGAGGGAACAGCGAGGACGACCGAGGACGGCCGAGCAAGCGAGCGCGCGGACACGCCTGGCCGCGACAGGGACCCGGCGGGCCCGCCCCGCGGCCCGCGCGGACGCGGCCGTGGCCGCGAGAGGGGAGGCACGGCTCGGCTCTGCCCCACCACGGCCGAGGGCGAGGAAGCATCACGAGGCCGAGGACGAGGTGGAGCTGCCGCCTCGACGGGGTGGAGTTCGACGGCGAGGAGCGCCAGTGCGCTGCGGCGCGCCGGGTCGTCGACCACGACGGCTGGGTGACTCGACAGCCCAACGCGGTCACCGAGACCGGCCCCTGAGCATGGAACGGGGGCGGGCTGCGGAATCAGGCGATCACCAAAGAATATATGGAAGCGCAATCGGCCACGCGGCCGGGAGAGCGAGTTCCACGGGGAGGAATGAGGACGGGGTGGAGTTGCCGCCTCGACCAAAAGGGGCGGGGACGAGGCAGAGGTCGAGGTCGGCCCGCGCGGGGCGGCTGCGGACGCGAGAGAGGGCACGGTGTGGCTCTGCACGGCGGGGTTCGGAGGGGGGGGGTGGAAGCCGGTCTCTGTCGGCGTGTGCAGGACTTGTCTGTTCGAGTCGTCGTCTCCGTCGGTCGTCGTCTCCGTCGCCACTTTTTCTCTGCGCCGGCCTCCTCGAGCCTGTCAGCGCGAGAAACATGAAGCACTGTCGTATCGAGTCGAAGGGAAGCCCCTTCCCTGTGATCCCTCCCCCGTCGGGGTAGGAGTCCCTGGGGCGGGAGGTTCCGGGCGGTGGAGAGGGGGTCAGATAGGCATCCCCCCATGGGGGTCCAGGGGCCTTAGAAAAGTACCAAGACAGGCCAAGTGTGCCCCAAGAGGCTTTCAGACGGTCCAAGAGAGCCCCCATTCGCCACACTATCAGCCCAAAACGCCTTCACGCCATCCAGACTGCCTAGGAGACCGCCAAGACGCCCCAAGACGCCAAGAAACCTCCAAGCGCACTCCCGAGAAGGGCCCCACGAGGTAAAAACCATTGATTTCCCCTTTGGGCGAGCTCGCCTGTTCCGCTCCCTGCCGCTCCAAGCTGGCCCAAGAAGCCCCCAAGATCGCCGCCCAAAGAAGGCCCCCAAAACAGCCAAAGACGCCTCCAAGACTGCCCTAGAGGCCCCCGAGACGGCTCCAAGAGGGTGCCCAGACGGGGGCCCCAGAAGGCCCACAAGAGGTCCCCAGGAAGCCCGAAGAGGCCCCAAGAGGTTCTCAAAAGGCCCCCAAGCGGCCCCCGAGAGGCCCCAGAATACCTCCACGGAGGCCCCCGAGAGCTTGCTTAAGAGACCTCAAGAAGGATCCCTCTGGCCCACGTCAGCGTCGTCGTCTCCACTGCCGTTGTCGTCGTCGTCGTCGTCGTCCCCCTTCAGGGTCGGCGGCACCGGCACCGTAAGGCCTTCGCAATATGGAAACGCAATCGGCCACGCGGCCGGGAGAGCGAGTTTCACGGGGAGGAATGAGGACGGGGCGGAGTTGCCGCCTCGACCAAAAGGGCGAGGACGAGGCAGAGGTCGAGGTCGGCCCGCGCGGGGCGGCTGCGGCCGCGAGAGAGGGCACGGTGTGGCTCTGCACGGCGGGGTTCGGAGGGACAGGGCGGAAGCCGGTCCTCCGCCCGGAACCCTCGCAGTGGGGTCGAGAGGAGGAGCAATCGAGGAGGGGGAGGAGCGAGGGTCGAGGAGATTTTGTTCATGCCGAGGACGAGGGCGGAGCTGTGGCATCAAGAGCGGAAGCGCGAGAAGGGGAGCGCGGAGTCGCCGCCGAGGCGGCGCCCGCACTTCCAGGGCCCTCCGCGAAGGTTGGCAGGACGGGGAGCGAGTGGAGGTGTGCATGCAGTGCGAGGCGGGGATGTATCCATAACCAGCGCCTGGGGGATCGATGTTCGGGGACCTCGGCAGGCGGTGGAAATGCACATGTCTAGCCCCTCCCCAAGTGCCCGAGCATATCCATATCCACCGCTTGCAGAGGCCCCCGAACATAGATCCCAAAGGTGGTGGCTATGGATAAGTCTCCACCTCGGAAAAAGGGAGACTGGCAGCACGGGGAGTGGAAGCGTGAAGCTGCCGCCGAGGCCGCCTCGCAAAAGCGGCCCGACACTGACGGGGCGAGGGGGCACCAGAGGCCGCCCCACCGAAACACAGCGGACTGGCCTACCGCAGCGTGGCAAGGCGCCGCCGCGGAACCAGCCCGCAAAAGTGAAAGATCCGCCCCTCGGATCTGGGTGTGTCTCGGTCGACAACTGCCATCGGGCACGCAAGTACGGTCAGGAACGTTTGCTCAGCGTGTCGCGGCGGCGGCCCCGGCGGCACGCTACGCCCTGCGAGCTGATGACGCATTGCTCCTCAAGGAAAAGCTCCGGAAGGAAACGCTCGGAAAAAGGGGCGTGGCTAGCGCCACGCGCCGAGGCGCGGTGGATCAGAACTGGCGGAGCGACACGCTGAGCCAAAGGAACCCGCAGTAAACCGGCCTCTGGAATACTCGACACACGGCAACAGAAGCCTTGGATAGCGGATGCCGCACGCGGATTGAGTCAGACAGTATGGAGTCTGTGGCGATGGGGCTGAGAGGGCACGGCTGTCCTCTTGAAGGGTTCACCTTTTCAAT